TCTTTTCTCTCCATATTTTCTCTCTTGTAGATCCTACCATTCTGTGGCTTTAAATATTCGATGTGTTCTAGGTTTATACAGTGCAGCCCAGCTTCCCCTCTCAGCGTCAGTTCCCACATCTACCTACCCAGTGGGCACCTCTGCTCACACGTCCAAGGGACCCTTCTCGGCACACGCCCTGCACTCTCCGTCGGCCCCTCACAGCCCCGCTGGTTTCTGCTGTTCTCAATCTCAGGAACATGCACTATTTACCCAGTTATTTAGGCCCCAGACATAGAAGTTATCTTTAACTGCTCTCTTTTTTGCGTGTCCCTAGGTCCACACTTCTCAGCCCTACCTTTGAAATGAGTGCTGAACGCAGGCCCTTTTCACCACCTCCGCCTGAGCGGAGCGTGGAGACCTTTCTCCCCTGACTTCTCCAGCAGCCTCCTCGCTGGCCTCCCTGCTCCCACGCACCCGAACGGCTCGCTCTCTGCCCGCCCCCCCCACCCCGGCCAGGAAGAACATCCTTTAGCACAGACCAGCTACTCAACCTAAAACCCCATCCTTCCCGTCACAATGAGAATGACGTGCAAATTCTACGTTGGCCTCACCAATCCACATTACGTTGACCGTGTCTATCTCCCCAGCCTCTTTTTGAACTTGTCTTCCCCCTCATCCTCTGTAGTTCAGCCACATTGGCCTGTGTGCCCTGCCATGAGCAAGACAGGTTCTTTCCTATTTCCGCTCTGGCTGTTCCCCCTGCCCAGAAAGCTCTTCCCCTCAGACTTGGCACAGCCTGCTCCTCGCTTCAGCCAGGTGTGCTCAGACGTCGCCTCTTCACAGAGGACTTTCCTGACCGCCCCCACCCCATGTCCTGCTACTCTCTAGCCTCTTACTCCGCTGACTTTTTAAAAAGTGCTAATTAATCCTGAATTACTTTTTATATATTTTTTAATTTTAATGAATAGCTATTTTAGAAACCAAAAATTATAATGTTCTATCTACTTGAATAAGAGGAAGTGTAGCATCAGTTAAATGACAGTAGCTAAACAAACAAAAAAAATCAATCAAAATTACCTTAAAGAGAAAATAATGCATATTGTGTTGAGTGATTGTGGTTGTTCAGAACCCAGCTGCTGTGGAAACTGAGTTAAACCTGCAGGTGACCCTGGATTCTTGAGCTCTTACTTCATGATTCTTGTCTTTTCTGGGGCACTAACGACCCATAGCATCCCCTGTGGGCTGTGGGTGGAGCAGCAGGAGCAAAAGGGCCACTTGGGAAGGGCTGGAACGTGGACTCTGCCTTGGCCAGCGTTTTGCCTGTTGTGATCATTTTCTTTCCTTACCCCCTTGAGCTTTCTCTCCACACGCGGGGCTGTGTTCCAGCTGCCGTGAGCCCTTTCACACGGAAGACAGTCTCCATCCCTGTAGGAAGTGCTTCCTTCCGGTTCCCTGCCCAGGCCTTTGGCCATCTTTCTGCAGAGGCTGTAAATCTAATGTGCAGACCTCATGTTTCTGCTCATGCTGACAAGTTTCTTCTCCACTTCTAAGCAGCTCGTTTCCACCTCAGTTTCTCCTGGAGTTGCGTTAACTGATCTTCATGTGATTCAGGCCGAATGTGACGCTTCAGCTCCAGCTGCTGAATCTCACTGTCCAGGTTTGAATTTTCATGATGCCAAGATGCTTTCTTGAATTGGAGACTTGCTCCCGGTCCTGTGAGCTCTTCACGCATTTGCTTTTCTTCCCACGATTGCCTGGCTATTTCCTGCTGTTCCTCTTCAGGACATTGAAGCCACATCATCAGGGACACCCTCCAGATCCACTTGTGACCGAAGGAGGGGGTGGTCACCGTTTTCTGCTTCCCTGTTCCGTTCAACCTGCCACATCACATGACCTAAGTGATCCCAAGGGGAATCAGGCAAAGGGATGGTCTGCGGCCATATTTCAGCTGCTGATATTAATTGGCTGATTTCATCTTTTAGGATCTGCTTCTTTGCACGGTCGACTGCTCCAGCCTGTCTCTCTCCTGCTACTGTTCCTGGACTCCCTGCCTCCATCTCATGATTTCTTGGTGGAACAGTTGTGAACTTCCTGAAAAAATGAATGTTTTCCTTGAAATCATTTGTTATTTTCTTCTGACGCTGCTCTCCATTGACTTCCAGTGCTCCTGAGATGGGCCTTCATTAGTCGGCTGGGAAGGTGTAGGGGACCAGCTCTCGGTGCCCTTTGCAGACAGCCTGCGCGGGTCTGTGCCGCGTTCAGTGCCAACAAGCACCAGATCTGCAATGCGGGAGGGCTGGCCTCCACCCCGGGCAGCCCAAGGGAGCCATCAGCGTGTGTCCCTGGTTCAATATCCCCTCTACATCTTCCGCAGACTTCATTGCCAGCAGAACACCTTTTCGCTAGCGCCCCCAGTCTTAAAGTGTATTGTCTCTTTCCTATCAAAGACACCACCCCGCACATACCTGGATCACCCCACGAAATGCACAGAGTCCCAAGCTTTCAGAAACATCAGCAGAGCCCTGCCCAGGTCCTGGAAGGTGGGTGCAGGGGCAGATGACAGTCCCTCCATGGCTGGTCTGGTTCACAGATCTGTCTCCGAGTGCCAGTGTCCTGTGTGCCACCACTGACCCCGAGGAACCCTCGGAGTGTTCCGTCTCTAAGGTAAACAGATACCCAGCGACCAGGGCAAATCAGCTGGGCTGGGGGCGGGGGCCAGCAGGCTCTATGATACAGTCGTCCCTAACTGCTCGGAAATAGAATGCGATCTCGTGCGTACAGGCACGGGGCGGGTGGCGAGGGCCGACTGCAGTCGGAGGCGGAGAGCTCACCTGCATGCCTTTGCCTCCCCCGCTCAGTGTCCCCTACTGGGGACGCCCTGCATTCACACGCTGCTTTTGTCACAGCTGATGAACCAACCTCGTTACCTTATGATCAGGTAAAGCGCACCGCTTCCAGGAGGGCTCACTCTCTGTGTTGTGTAGCTCTGGGAGCTCTGACAAATGCGTGATGTCGCATACTCACGATGACATGATCACGCAGAACAGGGTCACAGCCCCGAAGTCCCCGGTGCCCGCCTGCTCTTCCCTCCCTCTCTCCTCTGGAGCCTCTGGAAACCAGTGGCGGCTTTACTGCTTCTGAAGGCCGCTTGGTCTGATATGAATGTACCTAGTCTTGCTCTCTGTTTTTTTTTTAACTTTTCAATTACAGTTGACAGTCAATAGTATTTTATGTTAGTTTCAGGGGTATGATCCTGAATTCTTAGCATTCATTTATTCGTTCATGTTTATCTCCCCCAAAAGAATGCAGACATCTTACTGGAAGGACTTTTCCTTCTTGTTCCTTCAAAGTGTCTAGAGGAAGTGTTCAATAAATACTTGCTGAATGAATGGACACATGAATAAAAATGCAATTTTTGGGAGGAAATAAGAGGTGGGATGCAGAAAGGCCAGTGAGCAGGCAGTGGTTCAGGTAAAGAGTGTCGCTTAAATACATTTCAAGCTGTGAAGCACCTCCAGGAGTGAATGAGCCATAATGATGGACAGACACAGTGGAAGGTGAGTCAGAGGACTCAGAAGGGCATCTGTTGGAGGGCAATTTCTGCAATGACAAAATGTCCTCTATTTCTGCTGTCCAAAACAGTAGCCATTGGCCACCTGTGGCTACTGAGCACTTAAAAATGTGGCGAGCGGGACTGAGGAACTTGAAAAAGAATTTTCATGAATCTTAACTCACATTAAAGAGCCACATGTGGCTGAGGCCATGGCGTTAGACAGTGAAGTTCCTGAACCTGAAGGACCCTTCCCCCCGCAGACTTCGGGACAACGCCGCACACCTTGCTTGTGAGCTGTGGAGAGGACTGAGGGATGCGATAAAAAGCCTTGTCAAGTGTCTGAAACAGAGCCGGCCCTCAAACAACAATCAGAGCTGCTTTTGTCACACGGGGTTGCAGATTACAGTACTTTTAAGCACATGCCATTTACATTGGGCTCTGAAGTGCTGGAAACAGACTTTTATAAATTCTTATCACAATTTTTTTTTTGTTTGCTAGAGTTAGTGGATAACCAATGTGTGTGTGTGTCTATATTTGAGCTTACAAACTAAAAATAGCAAACGACCATTTTGGGATCTCGTGAAGGCCTTTCAGTGATGAATGACTGTTCCAAGTGGACCAGCCTGCTGATACTTCTAATGAGCTAATTAGTTTTTACAACAGCTAATTTAGCATTTGCAAAAATCTGGATTTGTAACATAACTGTATTGTATTCAAACTGTGTCATCTGCAACTTCCCGAATGCTTTTGGATAAGAGAGATGTTAGTACTTTAATACTTACTATTAAAATAAAGGGAAAAGTATGTTCTTACTGGAAACATTATGTTGAATTCTTTAAAGCTTAAATTGATTTAGTCATAAAATCATTTATTTTCTTGTCAGAGGCTTGCCATACTTTCTTCCACGCTGAATCCAGAATATAAAATTAACACAGATATGGAGCATAAGCAGACCATTATAACTCCCCTTTAGGAATAATCGAATCTAATAATAGAATTACACATTTGTTCAGAATTATCACAGTGCTTATTTTTAGGCCAAGGGAACTTGCAGCCCTGAGCAGCCAGGTGGAGGCGGCCTTCCATGGCCCTGCGGAGGCACCCGGAGCCTCCGACTGAAAGCCAGGCGGAGGGGTCTATTTACATTAGCACCTGCTTAAAGGCATTGAGAAAAGTTGACATTCTTTCTAAAGAGACCAATTAATCTGCATCCCTTGGAAGCCTCTTTACAGTAGTTGGAAAGTGCCCTGGGACAGACTATAAATGAGATTGGATTAGAAAGGAAACGGATGTTCACTTCTCTAAAGAGGGAGCCCTTGCAGGCTGCCCTCCCGGCTTTGCAGTTTGAGTGCCGCTCCTTTCCGGCCCAATCCGACTGCGAAGGGGGGCGGGGCGGGGGGGGGGTGTAGCAGACCAGGAAGAGGGTGAAGACCCTAAATGCTAGATGGGGTGTGGTAAGACTTACCAATGGGCATCACTAAGAAGAAGGGCAGCCAGCAGAGGACGAAGCAGCCGACCACGATGCCCAGGGTTTTGGCGGCTTTCTTCTCCCGGGAAAACTTGAGGAGTCTCACGGAGAAGTGCGTCTTGTTCCTGGAAGTGGGCACCCCGCCGCCGCCTACCGGGGCGTTTTTCCGGTGGATGCGGAGCGTCACCTGCTCGGAGTCAGACTTGTCGGTCTTGAGGCCGGCCTTGAGGCCGCGACTCTCCCTCTTGGCCACCACGTACACCCGGCAGTACATGGCCAGGATGATGGCCAGCGGCACGTAGAAGGACCCCAGGGCGGAGAAGAGGACGTAGCCCGGCTCCTCCGTGATCTGGCAGATGGTCTCATCCTCCGGGGCCGGCTGCCTCCAGCCGAACAGGGGCCCGATGGAGATGACGAGGGAGAGCGCCCAGACGCAGAGCAGAGCCATGAGGCCCCTCTTCGGGGTGACGATGGTGGGGTAGCGCAGCGGGTAGCTCACGCCAATGCAGCGGTCGATGGAGATGATGCAGAGCCCCATGATGGAGGCGGTGCAGCACAGGACGTCCACCGCCGCCCAGATGGTGCAGAAGACCCTGCCGAATGCCCAGTAGCCCAGGATCTCGAAGATGGCGGAGAAGGGCAGCACGGTGGAGGTGAGCAGCAGGTCGGCCACGGCCAGGTTGACGATGTAGTAGTGAGTGACCGAGTGCAGGTGCCGGTGGCAGGCCACAGAGAGGATCACGAGGATGTTCCCCAGCACCCCGAAAATGATGAGGCTCCCCAAGATCACTCCGAGCAGAATGGCCTTGGAAATGTTCACCGAGGCCGGCGGGTGCGTGCAATTGGAGCTGTCGGAGGCATTTCCAGAGAGAAACACCATGGTCCCGGCCGGGCCGGCGAGGTCCGGCTCTCGAGGGCCTCCCCCGGGCGGAGTCAGAGGCGGGAGCTAGGGAGCCGGGAGTCAAAAGGTCTGGGCTTGGGGGAGCCTTGCCCGCCGGGGCTGGCTGGGGATGACAGAGAGCGGGAGGGGGAGAAGCAACCCTGGCCAGCTCTGGAAACCCTCAGGAGGCCACGCAAAGGAGCAGGGCACTACAGGCGACATGGCCAGGGGCGCGCGGGGCTGCCCGCGGACGCCCTCCACCCGCTGCGCTGGCCCTAGCCTCCAACTCCCGTTCTACCCCAGGCCTGGCGCCCTGCTCTGGGCGACAAGTTGCCAAATGCAGTCCCAGAATTACGGGAGTCCTCTTTCCTGCGCTGTCGGATCCGTCCTGATTAGAAGATTTCGCATTCTTCGTATCATTTGGAATTCAAACATCCAGCGCCAGTCTCCCCCCGCCCAAAACTACAAGCAGCAAGTACCAGTCTGCCGTCGACTCGAAGGCGGGGACCGTTGACATCTGTGCGCTGCTCCCGGCCCGAAGGACCCACAGTGTGGCTGGTCCGCCGTGGTCTCGTGGTCCGCCTGCGCTCGATCCAGGTTCTAGGCGCGCAGGCCAGGGGACGTGGATGTGAACCGTTTGCCAAGGCCGAGGCGGCTGCGGAGCCTCGCTAGCCGGCGCCTTCCTGAGAGAGTGCAAAAAGAAAGGCGGGATGTCAACCAGACGCACCGGGGACCGAGGTCGTGCCGGGCTCGACCGGCAGGACCCGGCTGGGAGCCAGGCCGACTCTGCGGTCCCGGAGCGGCTGGCCCTGCCGCAGCGGAGGGCCTGCGGGAGGGGTTCCGCGCGCAGTGCCCCCGCCGCTGAGAACCTGCCCTGGCGCGCTCCGCCGCGCGACCGCTGGCGGGGTTCAAATCCGAAGCAAATAAAAGCCCAACCCACAGCTCCTGGTGACCGGATGGCGTACGGGGGAATTAAAATCCCCGAAGCACGCGAGTCGCTACTGCAGCTGGCAAGCGTGTCGCACCGAGCTGAGCCAGTGGAAACCGGAGGTTCTGCCGGGTTGCCATTTGAACAGGTTGCTTTCGCAGTCGCCTGGAGGGGCCGGCAGGGGAGAGGGAAGCGCTGCGTCCGAGGGACCGCAGGGCCAGTGACACGCGCACGCTCGTGCCGGAGGGATTCAAACTTGGGCGTGCGGAGCGCGTAGGTTTGTAAACCAGCCAAGTCGGCCTGAGGGTCAGGTCCCGAGCAAAGCCCGATGGGTCCTGATGGGTCCCGATGCGTCCCCAGGGCTAAATGCGACCTGGGTCCAGGATTCCCTTCCAATCCCCAGGGACGGGGGTCCCAGAGAACTCGGGCCTGGAGCCACACCCAGGCGGGCTGCTGGGGTACAGAGAGAGGGGAGATCTGAAGGCGCGGGGGAGGCTTCACTCTGCGGAAGGGGCTTTGCAAGTGGCAGTCACTGCGAATTCTGTCGGCGTAAAAATCAAGCCCGCGCGCCAGCGGACAGGAGACAGCGGGTGTCCCGCCTGTTCTGGGCTGGGGGCCACGGTCAGCGTAGGGACCCTGGGTTTCCACAGCTGCAAGCCGACCACAGGGACTCGAGCGGGAGTGCGAGGAGTGGGGACCCATCTTGGCTTCTAAGGACTCGGGCTGGGCGCTGCGGCGGCCCCCAAGCAAAGGCTGCTGTGGAAACCACAAGTTCGGGAGCTCACAGGTGGCAATAAAAGCAGGTCAGGACAGAAACCCTTTCCCCCCTACTTCGGGGTGATAAATACGGGTTTAAAAACGCACTTGTTAACTCGGAGGTTACTTCCCAGAATGTGTGAGGGAAACGGGGTGGGGTGGGGACCCTGGTGTCAGAACAGGTGGAAAAGGCGGGAGGCGCTGGGGGCAAGCCGGGGTTCCGCTCTCCCGGAGCCCGAGGGCGGTTTGCTTCCACCCACCCGGCCCGCTGGGCGCCGCGCCCCGCTCCGTCGCACACTCACCTGGAGCCCCACGCAGGGCCCCGCCCGCGCGCGGCGCGGCGGCCGCGGTGTCTGTCCCGGGAGCAGCCCTGCCGCCTCCTCGCTGCCCTCCTCTCTGCGGGGACAGGGGACCGTCTCTCCCAGGAGCCGGCTCTCGTCCTTGGGCGCCCGCTGACTCACTCCTCCGCCACTAGTGTCTTTAAGCTCCTGGCTCGCTATCCTTTACCTGGAGATTTTAAAATAAAGAGTAAAAATAGGAAAACATAAAAAAAAAGAAAAAACCCCTGCTGATCAGTAACTCTACATTCCCCCTTTTAACACCCAGCTCCCCGAAATGAGCGAAGAACTGGCAAGGAACTTCGCGGCGCCCGCTGACGTCAGGCGGGCAGCGGCCCGGCCGGCGGCGGGGCTCTGCGGTCCCCGCGCCTCCGCAGCCCAGGCACATGCGCAAAGCCTCGCCTCCTCTGTTCTCGCCTCGCCCGGAGCGGCTCGGGTTCTCGCTGTGGGTGACGAGCACATCGTGAGATACCCAGGTGATGTGTTACAGTACTGTGCACTTGACGCATGGGATCTTATTAACAAATTCACCCCAATAAATTTAACAAAAATAAGTTCTAAAACGGTGTGTGGGGGCTGGATGCATTTTATTTCCAGTAAATAACTTCTTGAAATGATCTTATTTTAAAAATAAAGAGAAACTGACACTCGCCAGACATATTAATTACTGTGTGTTCAAAGAAATGCCCAGCTTGATTTGACCGACATTTGGACTGAGTTCAGTTAAAATCAGGAAGAAGCATGTTCTTATGCCAAATATTCAGGCAAATTATATTATCTGTAGATGTTTTAAGGTGTAAGTAAAAATCACGTAAAATTCAATAAGTCTGATTGTAATAAAATAATACTTCCAGGAAGATAAAGTGAGCATATCTAAACCTTATTAAATATGATCCACTTCTCATTTCTTTACATAGATTTAAAAAGCATTATAGTTTCACTGTAATTTCTTACATGGTTTAGGTTCTTGAAGTGCCACATATTGTTTTCCAGTTTTCATAAGAAAATACATCCTTTAAAGGAAAGTTACTTCCCTTTAATTCTCTTGGATTTGTTAACAGTTGGAGTGTGAAAAGCTGACATCACTAGTCTTGTTTACTTTTTTCTGGTAAATTCCATGGTCTGTTTATGTTACAACTGAATAAAACCGTGTTTTTGGAATACAGGAAAAATACTAAAATTTTCTGCACTCTGATTCCCACCTCCTCAGTCATCTTTCATCTTCATCCGTTCAGACAAAACACTCAGTAACAGAGAGAGAACTTTGTTATGCACTTGAATTCTCTCCCTTGAACAGAAGTTGGTTAATAGCATTGCATTTTCCAGGGAGATAGTCGGAAGGCTCTTTCCTAGCAATCTTCCTCAAAATGCCTGGGAGGAATGCCCCTGGGAAATTTGGGAGGGGGGCTGCTTCACTGAGAGCTAATGTTTAATTTCCTTTTAGACTTTAATATTATTATTGTTTTGTTTGTTTTATCCTCACCCAAGGATATTTTTTTCCCTATTATTTTAGAGAAAGAAGAAGGGAGAGAGAGAAACATCACTGTGAGAAAGAAGCACCGATTGCTTGCCCTCCATATGTGCCTGGACCCAGCCCCGGAATCATACGCGCTGGCCCGAGATTCAACCCAAAACCCAGGCAGGCGCCCTGACCAGAAACCCAACCTGCAACCCTTAGGTTACAGGACAATGCTCCAACCAACTGAACCACACCAGCCAGGGCTGACTTAATATTGTTTTAAAAACATACATACACATGGCTTGCTCATCTAGCAACTGAATTTTATATTGGACAAGAAACATACTGGGCGAGGAGACAGTAAACCCAGGTCCACGCTCATTACCAAGCGCTCGCCGTCTCCCCGGAACTCAGCTCGCGGTGGCAGAGAAGGCTGGACGACAATGCCCTCTGACTCTCACATTCTGTCATCAAATATGGGAATAATGTCTGTTCTTCAGAAACCTCGTCCATCAGAGAGATATATGATTGTTTAGTTTCATACTCATTAACCTCGTACCATGAATTCAAGTGTTCTATTAAGATCTGTTTCATGGTAGATAAGGGAAATAGTGTTATCAGCAAGAAAAGCATCTGAAAATTGCTCAGCTCTGCAAGGTCAAAGTGTACAAAAGGCTTTGGCATTCCCAGCACCCCATCCCCCAATGAATAAGCATCCTAACAAAAACCACCTCCCCTCAGTGCCTAGGTAGGTCTTTCCAGTTACTTCTCAGCCTGTAAACATCAGTCTTTGAGAAACTAACTCTCAGAACCAGTTTTTCCCTCAATAGTCATAGACCCGCAAACAGGAAACTATCCATTTGTTAGTGACTCTTTAGAAAATGGTTATGTTAAAAAAAAATCAGTAAACAAACACCACATCTACAATGAAGTTAACAGGCCAGACGGGAGGGGGGAGTCAGGGGGGGCGGCGCGCTCCTGCCCTCCCTTCAGCCAAGCACAGCACAGAGAACTCTTGGAAGGGCCCTGCCACTTCCTCCTCCCCCACATACCTGTTCCCTCTTTTTTGTTCCAGGAATTTGCACATGATCTACCATAGTAGCATGTTCTGAACTGCAGTTCGTGATGGTTACAGAATTCATCCATGTGCTGGAGAGATATTTGGCTGACTTTCTGTTTAAGGTCAATAGCTGATACGGATGTCCTGGAAAACGTTGAGTTAGACCCGTGGGGAGGCGGGGTGAAGAAAGAGTGCGTCGTGGAGTCATAATGGTGCTGTCTCTGCCCTCCTAGGAGACCAGGCAACACTCAGCTTCTCTGAGCCTCGGTTTCCTAATTTTTAAAGGGAGACACTAACATCCCCAAGGGGGTTATGAGGACTGAGTGAGATTATATCTCAGGAAGCTTATCAACACTCTTGCTATTAATCTTACTAGCCCTTTCCCATTCTGCTCATTTCATATGCTGCTTTGAAGTAAAACACACGTCTAATCCAGAGTGGTCCAAATTTCACACCTAA